GCCTTCCCAACATCAATTGGTGGATTTGGATATTTTAAATTGGAAGGATTAGAGGATGTTGAATTAGTTGGATGGGGCGGATCAGGTGGAAGCATGTTTTTATGGAATGAAGAACTGAAAATTAGTTTTGCTTATTGTATGAATGCCTTCCATACTGCTTTATTAGGTGATAAAAGAAGTTTAAAAATGATAAAAGAGGTTGTTGATACTGTAAAAAAATTAAGAAACATTCAATGATTAATGACTTCTTTTCATTTTTATTTATTTCATTAAAATTCATTTATTTCAATCCTTCCATCATTCATTTATAAACAATTTTGTATATTATTTAAATAATAAATAGAATTCATTCATTCATTCATTCATATAAAAAAAATTAATTTATATAGAATATAAATACACATTTAATAAACAATATAAAATAAAATATTTTATAAACAGAAATCTTCTATTTGAATAAATCACATGATTTGGATACGGGTTCAAGGAAATCATGTGATCTATAGCATTTTAGTCCAATTCTTTCTCGGCTGATTCTTTTTTAAGTTCTCTACTAAAACTTGTTGTCCAATTTTCAATAGTTTTATTTTTTGGTAACTCATTTGCATCCAACTCATCTGCTTCTCTTTTGTTTTAGAATTGTTTCAGCTGTGAACTTATTCTTATCTACATTTCCTAACAAAAAAACAGGCTCTTTTACCTACTCAGACATGTGTTTACTTCCCACCATGCTTTCCAAAATTTCCTTCTCGCGAAGAGCCAAATCCAATTCAAAGCTATTCATTCTAGAACTTTTAAAATTCCCACCTAGAAAATGCTTATATTCCTATTTACAGTTCACTCGGACTATTTGGACTAGTATTAGGAAAAAAGTCCGTTATATAGACAATAATATGGTGCAGATCATCTATAATCATTAATTGCTTATAGTAACAATTGGTCAACTTCAAAATACTAAAACAAAAAAAAATTATATCATTTTAAAAAATTTAACCAAGTTTTATTGTTCATGACTCAAGCTTCAAAACTTATCAGCTGGTTTTTTCTTAAATTGAAAATTGGCTGAGCCTTACCATTTTGAAAATTCCGAATTTTTGTAGGTTCTTTATGTTTACAACAAAAAAGTTTAACGAATATATTACATTAAAAGAAAATCATTACCAAATTTGGTTGTGAGATTCAACATATTGTAGCACAAAAATTATCGTTGCATAACTTTCAAATTTAAAAAATCTATGAAAAGAAAATTTGAGATAATTTTTTTTTAGATTAATAGACTCCCTTTTTAAAGCTGAATTGAATAGTGGTGGGTTTTTTAAAATCCAATGTGTGGATCCGCACTGTAGGTCTGATGTAAATTAACTATTTTTGTCAAGAGATAATCCTAAGTAAAAATCGTGATCACATTATATTGGTAATACAATTATGATGTTAAACAAACACATTGAACTTGATAATACAAATGTTCACCTTGTCTGGTTTTGCTGCAGCATGCCCCATATACAATATGCAGTATGCTTATAACACATATGGCCCAACTCAGGCTGAGAAAATTCTATGCTTTTAGGTAGGTTATGCTTATATACGGTATGCTTTTAGACAGGTTCTACTGTATATAACATTTTTCAATATTTTACAACAATACAATATTTGTTCAGAAAACATTTTCATTTAAAAAGTAATTCTTTCAAAAGCCAAATGGAATTTGCAGAAAAATTTTTCCTAATACTTTAGGAACTACCAATTATATAAATAAATCATTTTTAAAATGTCATAATATTCTTACACCTGATAGTAATTTTTTTGATTTGTATGATGATATAATTTTATTAAATAATATACAAGAAATATTTACAACTACACCACTTGAGGCGTCCCTACAAGCAGCATAGAACAATCAAATCGGGGTTCCTAACTAATGATTAGTGGCCAGCCACTAATCATCAGAGAGGACCATGGAACAATTCACAATAGCTTTTCCTATTAACTATGCAAAAATTCATAATAAGGTAAAATGTGTTTATTTAATTATTAACAATGGGGGGAATTTATTTATTCAATTATTATTATTGTATCATGAACATGATGATTCTCACTTGGTCTAAAACCAAGCTCTTTTATACTTCTTGAGGTATCACAAATAACATGACCTTTACAATGCTTTGTCCAATAAAATATGCTTATTAATCCTACTTTCTGTATTACTAGCTTACTAATTGCTAATTACTAATTCTCTGACTCATAATTACTAATCCTATGAGTCATTATTACAAATAATCTGATTAATAATTCGAAATAAATAATTCTGTCATAAAATAAGTTAAAAATAGAAATGATGTAATGATCTACATGTAATATTTAGTGCATCACATGACTTCCGTAGTAAGTTCGTTCTAATTGGTCAATTGGTTGGTCCACGGTTTACAATCTCACAATACATTATTTGTAATATAATTAATATAATTAATACATTATTTTGTAATATAATTAACTGACATCATAATTTATTTATAAATAAGAAAATATACAGTTTGTTATAAGGTGTGTTTACTAAGATGTTTGTTATAGAGAGAGAAATTAATTAAAAGGGAAGTTCATTATAGAGATTTTACTTAGTGTTCATTATAGAGAGAATGAACTGTAGCTTTATTTTTTTTTTTTTTTTGTTTGCTAAAGGATGTCATAGAAGAAAAGGACAATGTTGTATTAAATATTTAATATTAATTATTGTCATTCTTTACAAATAAAATAAAAATTACTTTCTATATATTACTGTATATAATAATAATTTTTAATGATTTGCAGTCAAAAAATTATCTACTGTATCATAGTAAATTTCGTGTTACCTACACTCTACCCTTAACTTGTATATAGCTTGATTATTTATGTCCTCAAAGGTTGTTGAAGCTAAATCAAAAGGATGGAATTATTTATATTATTTATTAAAAGCTTGATTGTTTTAGAATTATTTTATTATTTTAATGTGTGACATAAGAAAATGATCGTCACTGTAAAAAATTTATCCTTTCAGTTGTTATGAAAAATCACATGACTACACTCTACCCTTAAATTTATTATATTATATTAATATATTAATATAAGAAAATAATTTCCGCGTAATTAAAATCAAAACAAAGATTTTTGGTTTCTTTTCATTTTTCTTATATATACAGTGTGTTAAGAAAAAAATTGGCCTCCGGAGTAAGGTTGCAGGAGAAACTCCTCCAGAAATCAATCAACAGAGTTTTGACAGGTTACACATTAATTGTTTATTAGAGTTTCGGCAGAG